TTATTTCTGTACCATTTTCAGCATCCAGCCTTCATGCTGCTTTCAGATCTAAAGTCCATGTAGTTCATTCAGCATATTTATTTTTATTCTTTATATGTAACCCTCAATTTGACCCAATTCAATGGTAATTAATACAGAATATTTCGTAGGCACAATCACCTATTTTATTCCATTCCCATTTTGGTGACTTACTGTAGCTAGTAGTAGTTTGTGGCGACAGCATTTTGTATAAACTAGGTTTTGGAGCCATCTTTAGATCTTGAGTAAAAGTCCTAGTCACCCTTGGTCTCATAGTTGAATTTTCCCACAATAATATAAGTGGGCCGCCTCACGATACCATTAAATTTCATTAGCCTCTTCAAGAATCCCACTATAAATGCATTAACGGAAAGGCCTGAGGTTCCATCAAAATTTACGTCCACCCTGTGGCACATTGAAAATCGTGGCAGGGCGACGTAGCGGTAATATTTCGAAATTATACGCTGCCCTATCCAGATTTGAGTCCCGTCAGGCGTTCTGATTAGATCCGGTTAGGGTCAAAATTGCAGTCCATCCCAAATGGGAAAGTCTTGTGGGAAGCAGGCCAAATTAAATCCATCGACATCGTGAGGCCTACACGTATCATTGTGTAACTTTCAATTATCAGTCCCTCATCGCATTGTGTGACCTATGGTGACTAGTACTCGTGATCACTATTTGATTTTTTGCTACTTTACAGTATAGGGCGCAAATCTTATAAACTTGGATTTTATTTATTTACTTAAATGCATATGAGTAGTATAGTTCTGAGCCAAATTTCAGGTTTCTTGCCTATTTATTAAGTTATTACCTTAACCGAACTCCTTGCCAGTTTAAGAATTTACTGAAGTTCTTAAACTATCCTCAATTATGCAACCCAGAAAGCCTTTATCTGAACAAACAAACGAGCAGATGGATTATAAATTATTTCCTGTCATCGTATTGCATGCATAACTCGCTGGCATTTACGAGCATTATGCTTAAAACTCATTATTTAGGCCAGTGTGTTAAGCCTTGCCAAATGAGAAAAGAGAGTTGAAGGGAGAATATTTTGATGGTCAGGCATATTTGGTATGTGATGGCAGACCTTACTTTCTAATCCTTCCGATAGTTTAAGTATACAGACTTTGAAAAAATGCATGGTTTTGCATAATTGTCAAGTAAGGTTGACTAAATAACTTTTGTTACTACTAAAGTTAGCCAGTGGTAGTCTAATATACTAATTTGAAGGGTGTGGGAAGCTGCCAAAATTTGATAGATTTACTATATCACTCATGATTATTTAAGCCAATAAATAATTTAAGTTAGTACAAATACGCTGAATACTGTAGTTTGGCTTGAGACTAACTTATGGTCGATATTAAGTGTTTATAGTCATATTAATTCGTCTAAAGTGGAACTATTTTAACCTAAGTGCTATTCTCCACAAAATAGAATCCATTAATCACGATTTAATTAACTCCGTTAACTCAGATTTAGCGTTATTTATAAAGTAATATATTAAATATGATAAATGTTGGCCTAAGAACCTCGAAAAAAGCAAATTGCAGAAAGTTGGCTGGCTGGTGAAAAATGTGCAAACATAAATGTTCACTTATAAAGTGGCATATAGAATTGAATTTTTAACGCATAAATCAAGCCCGCTTCTCAATTTATTGTCTGTAGATTCACTGTCATTCCAACTAAGGGGCAGTCAAAGCTAATGCACATCGACAGCATATAGACCTATGAAATATCCGGAATCCTTTAAATTTTGATTACAATCTTTTTTTCTAAAGTTCATCAGGACGAATAACAAGTCATTTTTAACATCTTATGCCTTATATTATTCCACAATTTAGCACTACAGCAAAGATATAAAATTTTGTTTAACGCTTATCCCTTTGAACTAAGTGTCAGAACTAGGCATTTTTGGTCTGCCAAATGGCGCTCTATTTAGACCGATGGAGCTGGACGAAGCCTTCTTGAACATAGTTTTAAGGCGATTCCCTACAACCCATATCAAATTCGTTTCAGTATTTTTGTATTTAATTGATTATGATGGTAAAAATAGGAAAAATATTGGCAATTCACAAAGGTACAGCTTAGGACAAAGACAAATGAACATATAGAAACACATTTTTTGGGGAAGACAGTTAGCTAAGGACTGTGTTTACCATATTTGGTTTAAGATTATGAAGAACTGGTACTTGAATTTTTCCACAATGAGATGGGTAGATATGACGTCACCTTAACGAAATAGGGTGAACAAGGCTACTATAGAAAATGAAAAGGAGACTTTCTTTGAAGAGCCAACAGTCAGGAGGCCAGGGATATTGTGTAAATGAGGTCCATATCTAATGTCTTCATTTGAGGTCCGAACTACCTCATAACAGCCAGTCATTTATGGCCATTGATTGGAATGTATAAAATTGACATAAAAAAGGTATTAAAAATCAGTTTTTTTGGTGAATATAACTCTAATAAAAGTCCTTTTCTAGATTTCCTAACAACAATTAATTTTAAATGCACCATTGTTGGCATTTAACCTCTAGTTCTTGCGACTTTATAATCCATTCACATTGAAGATTAAGGCTAGCACACTATGATGAAACAAAATAATTTGCGGCCGACTTGATGCTGACGAACTTTTCCTGAATTTCAAATGGAAAGCTATGTTTTATGCAATAAGGACCAAGTAGTCTGACCTCATTTTCGCAAATTGATCGTGTTGTCAGGGCGACTTAGTTGGACCCTGCTATAAAAGTTATCATAATTCCGAGCATCAAACCAGGGACTTGGTAGATTTCCAGACGTTTCGCCGGCATCGTAGTCGAAATCATCAGTCAGCCGTACCATTCTCAGCACCAAGCCTCAACTCGTCAAAGAGATAAGTCAAGTCAATCTCTTGACCAGATTTCTGCCGAAATGGCTGTGCTATTACTCCTCTTGTTGTCATGGTCCATTTATCAACTCCCTACATTCCTATCACACTCACGCCCTATCACAAGTTCTAACTTGTTTCTATTCCACTCTTTAAGAGGTCTACTTTTTTTGGTGAGTTTAGTGTGACTTTACTACACCTGTTGTTTACCTTGCCTCACTCTATTTTGATTAAATGATCCTACTTGGGCCTCCTATCCGTATTTCCCTCATGGGCCTGTAAATTCGTTTATTATATTCTTGACTGACTTTACTTGGTTCCAGTGAACCAAGTTCGAACTGGGCAAAGTGGATATATCATACTCTACAAATTTGGTTCGCTTAAGAAGATGCTTGCTATTGATGTGTTTATGTAATTAAGATAAAAGCATGCACATTTTTCTTAATTATTGCTAGAAATTGGGGCAATATTGCTGGCGTTCTTGTCTTTATTGTGACTTATGACCAATTAACTTTTTAAGTATGCTGCAATGTAAGATATTTTTTAACAAATATGATAATAATCTAATCCAATCGAGGTAATTTCTTATATTAATTTCAACATCCATCGCCTTCACCGTAAAAGTTTTCTTTACTTTACCACAGCTGGATGCATTTTCATACCTACCTTAAAAGAATGTTGATATTTTCCTTAACAATTTTAATTAAACTTTTATTACAATAATTTGCTGTACTTTAGGTAACTGGATCATCTGGCTCCATTCACAGCTCCTCAGATCTCAGCTTCTACGGTGGAGATGATCATGAAACCGATTTAGAAGATCCCTTTTGTAGCTTAAAAATTAATTGCCCTCTAATGCAGCTTGGTACTGGCAGCTACGGTAGTCCATCTCATTCTCTCGACCCGGAAAGTTGGTCACCAAAACATCTTCATCTGAAATCCTATGGCTGTCATCATTTACCTTCTCAAGAGATGGCCTACTGCCAGACTGACCCGAATCGGTTGGTGCCAAATAGCCGGATCCAACTTGACAATCCAAGTTACTGTCCTCAAAGTGAGACTGGTACTTGGTTGGATGGGCAGTGTGTGAATAATAAAGGCAAGGCGAGACCATATTATCCTGCTATGAGTATGTCGCATCCACTACCAGCACCGAGTCAACTTATTAACCGTTCACAAATCATGGACAGGAATGACGATTTTGCTGATATGGTAATTGCCCAAATACATTTTAATTTGTATTCATTAATCCATATTTCTATTCTTAAACTTAAAGGCATAAATGGTAGCTTACTGCAGAAGTGAATGTCTAAGTTAAATAAAGTAGTATTTTAACTATGATTATATCATAGATGGCAAAATATTTTGCATCTAAACTTCCGCTCAGCTTAAGTTAACCTAAGCAAGCAAAAGCAATTTAAAAGGAGATAAGTAAAAAACGCCAATATAGCACTTATGTAAAAAAGTAGTAATGTAACTTTCATTTGTAGTTAAGTGAATGACTCTTGATTGCTCATCTAACAGGCCAACATTATGTTTAAGTAACATAATGAACTTTGCTTAAATATGCGCATACTAAATACTTTTATTGCCAGCTCCATAATAGTAAATAAGCAAATATCATAGTTTTTATTAATTAATAAAAAATGCCCTTATCTGGAATACACCACTAGAGCCTGTTTAGTGGGAGTCTCTGATAGATGGATTCTGTCATTGTGATAGTGTTCCCATGTTTTGATTTCACATCGGTGGGTCAACTCAATGCATATACACACAATTTACCAACAGTTTAAACTCATCAACCTGAGTAATAATAGCTAACATTTATGGAGGGCGACAGAGGAAGATGCTCATTAAATGGAGTGTCAATTTGTAGCGGTGGAAAATTATGATTTAAGGAAAAGCATGGCAATCTCAGTAGTGAAACTGATTAAGTTGTAAAGTGAATTATTTGAAGACAAATCAAGTAAAAATTCAAACTCAAATTGTGCAATTATTACATTTGCTCTCTTATAAGCCAAAAAACATTTGCATGCTTGCTTCTTCATCCATCTTGCGGACTTAGAAATGTATTGCAGAAACTATTTTCATTTTAAGCAGGCTCTTGCTTATGAGAATAGGTGCTTAAGCGGTGTAACTTTATGCAAGGGTGTCTGATTTTAGCAGCTTAAGTTAGTCATAATTTAAAATAAATTTTATTTTAAGTTCAAATTATCTTTCCATCATTCTACATAAGGCGGCTTCTGAATTCTGTAAATGAGCTAATGTAAATCCCTGCCATATCCAAGGATAATAGTTCTTCCTATATTTGGAATGCGAACGAACTTGAACTTTTGATGTAACAGGCATCGCAAACTCTTTTGTATGACTACATAAGGTGGGTTATTCAACAAAGAATTCAAATAATTACCTTACAACTTTTTAGTATAAGTAGAAAATGACCAATATTATTGTAATTTGCCAGCAAATATGTACCAATTCATTTTTGCTTGCCAGAAAGAGTAAATAAGTTCGTATGGAAGTTTATTTATTTTATTTTTATTTCGATTAAGTAATTCAGAGATTTATGATGCGATGCTATCTTTTGCTTTCATTAATATATTTTAAATTTTTACGCCTGTACATATAAATAGTATATATTTTGCTAAATATGCATACATTTTTTATAATATACTTTGCCATGTTTAAAGACTTTGACCGATCTTCTGCACCAGTTCAACACCTATGTGAGCATATGCTTGGTAAAGTGTTTTCCTGTTTCACAAATTATTTGAGTGAATGCAAAGGCATCTCATGTACTCCTATCCAGTCCGAATATTTCTGTAGAATTTATTAAATGTCATTTAGTTAGATAATGCTCGAAACGTTTGGATTTTATACGAAGGTAATTAATGACCTTGGGGGATAAGACTTTGTTGCAGGTTCAGATGCTCGCTTTCAACTGTCTGACCTCCATATTTGAGATGAGTTATGTATCGATATATAGGGTCACATAAATGGTCATACAAAATATTTTTTAACTTGATTCTATTCACATTTGGTCGAGTAGCCAAAGAAGTGATATCGGAGAATACAAAACAATGTTTTGTATTTCCCTGAAAGTAGGAATGGTTAGGCGAAATTAAAACTCGAATCTTCTACAGATGATAAAGTAAACTTTTTAGGAGACATGTAAAAGTTACTACAGCATCATGTATTGTTGTCCATTAATTGTGAATAATAAAATTTTCAGGTTGTGTAAAATATATGCCTAAAGTGTCACTTTATTCTGATTAAGCCCAGTTAAAAAAATCCAGTCCTAAGCAAGTGAAAAATGCCTTTTATGCAGATAAATAAAAATGAACAATTTTAAATGAAATAATAAGTCTTTGATAAAAAGATAAAGAGCTGGTCTAGACATTTTAAGTTTATTGAAATGGAGGAATCAAATGTAGGCCAAATACGGGGAGCTGCTCTGGGAGGACAAAAATATGCCTCTCTCAGAGTGCAATCCATCAGTAGGTTTACAAAGTTTTATTAGTTTCAGTTTGTGATGAGAGAGGAGGCGATTGTGTTAGTAGGCCTTAATTTTGCATTGAATTTCACCTAAGCTTTCATCCCAAAGGGTATTCTCATCAAGGCCTTATTACAATTTCGAGACTATCGGGAGATATTGTTTCGTTTAAGATGATACAGAAGTGATAGTTAAATTCTACTTCAATTATATGATTAGATGTGTGGCCCATGGACACTCATGGGTGCACGGCGAAACGGTTAACGTATCAAAACTGTACGCTGCAATACCAAAACCGGGGTTCGAGTCCCCCCAGGGGTAGTAATGAAGCCTATGCAAGGTCGAGATAGCAGTCCACTCCAATTTGGATGGGAAAGTCATTTTGGTTGCTTGAGTTCCAATGGAAACAAGAGGTCTATTCGTTTATTTGTAAGAAAAATTTAACTACTAGTTCTCCCTTATCTTAAAAGGAATACAGTTCATATAAATGCTCTATTGATAGCCTCAAAAACTTACTTATAAACAAAAAATAAGTTACGGTATGTCCATTGAGTTTCTTACTTTTCAGGCAGGCTAGGCCGTCCTAAAGAAGTATAATTCAGCCTGTCAACCAGCTTTATCTCCAGCGTTATTCTACAGGATTTTTAATTCATCAATATCTGATAGATGTACACTACCAACAAACAGTCTGGTGATGAAATGCACCAACAATTGATAATCGCTTCGGCTTACTTTGTAATGCCATCTATTTTTTG